ATGTTTCACATTGCTCGTTTTTTTTTTGTTTTTGTCGGAGAATATATTCAATATTTCACTGTCTGAAAAGCCGGTGGCGGTTTTTGACAGGGGAGTGCGGGGCTGAAAACAATCGCTGATAACAATGGTGTAATATTCCCTCTAATATTCCCCTCTCTAATATTCCCTAATATTCCCCTCTAATATTCCCCTCTAATATTCCCTCTAATGTTGTTCACCAACATCAGAATTCGAAGTCTCTGTAATAGCATTTCATTCCTTCCGCCATTCATCCCAAACATTTAAACACCATAATGTTGTCTTTTTGGTGTTTGTTGGTATGCGTTCGGCATTTCTCGCCAACACTTCTGCGTCATTTAGCGCGACAACTCCTCTTTTAAAAGTTGTCGGTTCGTCACGCTTGTCCTGAGGTTGCTTTACACTTTGATCATCGTAAACAAACTCTCCAGTAAAATCACCGAGAATAAATCACATATCCCCTCGTTGCCTCAAAATAACCTATACTTATTCAGCTTAATGCTTAAGTTCCAGAGAATGGAGTTGTTTTGCAAAGCCATATTGAGGCCATAAAAATTATAAGCCTTTTTTTGTGTAGTTACCATGCTACAAAAATTGTATTTTAATCCTCCAAACAATGAAAAGACAATAATAGCATTTTGATCATTACTCGGTGATATTGGTAAAGGTCTGTAATATATGAATTCTCAATCCCTTTAAAATATAATTGTGTTCCTAGTCTGGCTTACGCGATCAGTATTGAGAGATACTGCAAAATGTCATTCGAACACCGGTATAAAGAGAGTAAGAATAATTAGCGAACACACAATCCCTTCACACCCCAAATTGCCAATCCGAAATTATTGTACTGATCAAATATATTGAGTTAAAATATAATGGTTTTTGGGAGATTTTCTGTTGGGCGGTACTTTTATATATTTATAAAAAATAAGGTAGGGCGAAGATGAGAATCAAGGAATTTTTTTATGCGGCCTAAACACTCGATAGCGCGCATGGGAGAAAATTAAAGCGGGAGGGAGAAAAATCGAGTAAGGGAGAGCAGGAGTATGTTGTTCCAATAATCTAATAAATGTGCATAATAGAATAAGAATACACAGTGCGAAAAGTAAATTCTAATAAACCGTTGAGTTATTAAAGTGTGTAATACAATAAAGGCCTACTATAGAAACTTGTTAAATACACTAGAAAATATATATAAAGCGTTAATACTTCTAATTTCATTGTGGCAATGTAGCTACATATATTCGCTTGTACGTAAATGCTACATCAAGTTTTGAGTGTTTTGACAAGTGCACAGTTCGAACTTCGTCTATAGGACTGCATGACAATTCACGCATATGCATGCGACAAGAGTACCTGCTTCTATTTAAAGATTACAATGTTCCCAATAAAACCTAAGCAACTTAGCAAAACAAAAATACTACATGTTGTTGCTATATGTGTTAAATTATTTTCATAATTAGTAATATTTCTATATAGCATTTGGACGCTACTGTTCCTATGATATGTAAACATTAATATATAGATATATTCCTCCCCCAATTAAGCGGTGTAGCTATCGCCCTGTCTACTTGAGGTTGCAATTTTACAAGGACCACGTTAGACCTAAAAAGGCACCGGCCGCACCACCACACAATTTAATGATAATATATTTCAATTTAGATGTTTATAAAACCAGGTCTTGTCCTTTCACGCTTTCTAATAGAGAAAATGAATATGTTGATCTTATAGATTAATGTAATATTCCGTTAATGATTCAATTGCTCTTGAGAGACATACTATGAGCTTAAATCGGACACAACTGATGCAAATTCTTTGAGTGGGAGAATGGGTCATGGGGGTGAAGTACTTCGGATTAGCATACTGTACTGTTGTACATCCCAAAAGACTCATTAGGGCCTTATGCTTTCCTCCTGTGGGGGATCTATAAGTCCCACTAGGAGAGACTGAATGCCCTATAGGGGTGATAATCCCCAATAGAGCCCTGCTAGAAGGGTCGCGACCCCATCTAACATCAACCTGAACCACGAGATCATAATCCCCTTGGCCAGTCCCTACGATTCGACTGAATATTATGTACACATTAAGGTAATTTGAGTCTATGGGCCTGAAGGTGATCATTGGGAGCACTTCAACCCCACATGACCATTTTATTTATTATTTTTATATTATTTTTTATATTTATTATTATTAAACTTTATTTACACACGGTATTCTCAATCAGGATTTTCATGCTGACAAATGACAAGATTATGAATTACAAAATAAGACTACAAAAATATTTACAATGATAAATCAAACTAATAATTAATATACCTGCTTTTCATGAGAGCCGTGTAAGGAATATATACAAGAAATATAATATAATACAAATGTGAATGTAGATTAAAATAATTTGGAACAGCCCGATTTAAAATTTGATAGGTTATTTGCTAGCCGTAGCCCAATCGGTAGGCTGTTCCATAGCATCGCACCACTATAACTAAAACTATTCTTGAGATAGTTTGTGCGAGGCTTAGGAACAGCCAGCTTACTATTTGTGTTTCTCAACGAATAAGGATTGACACTGTCACGGTTTACAAACATGGAACCCATGTATTGTGGAGCAAGTCCATTGAGTGATTTATAAACCATGACAGCCTTTTGAAACTGGCGTTGGGAAGATAACTTTTTCCAGCCAAGTCTATCGAGTAAGATGTCGGCATTAGTGTCATAGCTTGAAAAGGTCAAAACTCTCGCTGCGCGATTTTGTAGTTTTTGAAGTTTATCTGCCAAGGTTTTATTGCAATTGTCCCAAACTGTACAGCAATAATTGAAATATGGCTGGACAAGGGAATTAAAAATTAAATACAATGTTGCAACTGGGACAAATGAACGAACGAGTTTTAAAGCGCCAATACCAGAAGCAATTTTTTTGTTAATTCCTTGATCTGTATATTCCAAGATAGATTTTCATCAAGGTGAACTCCTAGAGATTTTGTATGTGAAACCTTGTCTATAGGAATTCCGTCTATTTTAAAACATGGGTCTGATTGGAAAGTAGCTATTCTTTGTCGTGAGCCAATTAGCATAAATTCAGTTTTGGATTGATTCAATGTAAGCCTATTGGCGATAAGCCATTTATTAACATTTTCAAGATCTTGATTAAAGTAATAATCTATATCTTCAATTTTATTGCTTGCAAATGTTAAATTGGTGTCGTCTGCATACATTCGTGCTTGGGAGTGCTCAGGACAATTTGGCAAGTCATTTATATACAATAAAAATAGCAATGGTCCCAAAATAGTTCCCTGTGGAATACCACAAAGTAACGTACGGTTGGTAGAAAGATGGCCATTGACATAACATTTTTGACTGCGGTTACTTAAATAAGACCTAAACCAGTTAGCCACAGCACCCCCAAGACCATATGCTGACAGTTTTGACAACAAAATTCCATGGTCAACTGTATCAAAGGCTTTCTTAAGATCTAGGAAAACGACAGCATTGACCAGTCCTTGGTCAATATTGTAGGCCCAGCTATTAGTAGATTCTAGAAGTGCAGTAACAGTTGAATGCAAACGTCGAAATCCAGACTGGTATTACATAGTAAATTGTTCTCAGTAAGAAAACCGTAAATTTGATCATAAATAATTCGTTCGAAAACTTTCGCCACAACCGGTATTATCGAAATTGGGCGATAATTATTTAAGTCTCTACGCTCGCCCTGTTTGAATAATGGAATGACTTTTGAGCATTTCCATTCTTCAGGAAAGATACCGGTAATGATAGAGCAGTTAAAAATTACGGCAAGGGATTCCGAAAGCAAGTCAGGACAATGACGAAGAAGCTTGGCAGATATTTTGTCTAGCCCAATTGCTTTGGACTTACAAAGTTTGTTAAGAAGCGAATAAACTGATGATGGGGTTATTGACTTAAACTCTATATTATTGTTACTATTGTGGCAAGTAAGATATTCTAAATACGAGCGATTGTTTTCTTCGTCAGGTATTTTTTCCTTAAGCTTAGGTCCAATAGTAGCAAAATGAGTATTAAACGTCTCAGATAGGTCCGAGGGGTCAGTAATAGAAACCCCGTTTATTTTGATTTCATTTACTCGTGAACTCATCTGTTTTCTTGAGGTCAATTCATTGATGATACCCCAAGTTTTTTTAACATTATTCTCGTTTTCATGAAAAGCGTTCATATAATAGGTTTTCTTAACAAGTTTAATTTCATTGTTTACAGAATTTCGAGCTTTCTTAAAAACAGTCCAATCACAAATATCTTTGGATCGAATAGCTTTTATTTTCAAAACATCTCTTTCATGCATTTGCCTTTTTAATTCAGGCGTGATCCACGGCGCCTTAGAAGATCTTACTCGCCTAGTTCGTAAAGGGGCATGCTTTTCCACTACGTTGTTAAAGGTCGTTTTCCATATACGCCACATATCATTCGGATTATTATAAATCCTTATCACGTCCCAATTCTGTAAAGAAATATCTCGTCGAAAATATTCAGAATTGAAATTTTTAAGTTTTCTATAACTTATTGTAGAATGGCCTTTGTTGCGTGGACTGATAGAAAGCTTACGGAATGCGTAAATTAAGCTATGATCACTGATACCGACATGAGAAACACCAGAGGAAACAATATTATCTGGTGTATTGGTAAAAATATGATCGATCATAGTTGATGAAGTTTCGGTAATTCGAGTTGGTTCATTTATTAATTGATGTAAACCATAGAGTTCAGTGATGCCAATTAAAGATCTCGAATTGCAATCTAAAGTAGGCGATCCAAGGTCACAATTTAGGTCGCCCAATAGGTAATACTCGACATTTTCTGCGTCAAGCATATCAATAAACGTTTCGAAATGATTAAATTTATCAGTATTCGAATTAGGTGGTCTATACCATGTTGTAACGAGAAAGGGCTTAGAATTTGGTTTTTGAATTTGAATACATAAATTTTCCAAGTCATCGATAAACAGGTCTTTGCGAAGTATAAAATTTACGCAGGAGCGCACATAAAAGCAAACACCTCCATACGTTTTTCCATCGGCACTACTACATGCTCTGTCCCGACGTATAATTTCATATCCAGGTATGTAAACATCGTTATCGCTTATTGTAGAATTAAGCCATGTCTCGTTAATTGCTAGAACATCGATTGGGCTAGTAGCAAGCAAAACTCGCAGCTCATCAATGTGATTTACTATGCTTCTCACATTAAGGGCTGCTAACTTAAACCCGCGTGAGGTAGGAATAACGGATTTGGGAAATTGTCAATCTGAGATAGATTTAGCAAAATCTAAAAAGTTTTGTTGTAAAGCTAAGCTACCTTGTCTATTTAAATGAAGGCCCTTCGTGTTTAGGTGGCTTTCATTCATATTTGAATTACTTAAGAAGGGAATTTTATTGCGAATACAATAGCCTTTAAGAATGTTATTAACCTGAGTAGCTTTAACAGTTAAGTCATGATTATCAGACCTTACCAGAATGGCTGATATTCCAACATCTGTACCTGGTGAATCTTCTTTTACTTGCGTTACAATGTTGACGATAGAGTCAGCTATTACTTTTGGCGTGCAATGACTTCTCAGGTCGTTTGTTCCAACATGTAAAATAATCTTGTCCGGTGTTCTTCTTGTAAGTGGCTTGACAAAGTCCTCCATGTCTGTGACTGTTGCTCCAGGGAACGGCTTTACAATAAAATAATGATTAGGATCTTCAGCATTCATCTTCGGACCGATAATATTTTTAACAATTGAGTCTCCTGCAATAACAACTGGTTGCTTCTGCGAGTTCTGGCCCTGTCTCGTTGTTTCAATGTTGGAGGTATTTGAAATCCCGCCAGAGCCAGAGGTATTTGCATCCGGAGCATTTAGTTGACTGGTATTATGAGCTGATGGTTTAGACTTGGTTTTCTTACTCTTCTTTTTACTCTTTTTTGTAAGACTTTCTTTGGCGTTGGGCTGACTATAGATTACAGGCTGATCAGATTCATGATTCAGTTGAGTGACTTCATTATTACGTATGATTTCACAGGCCGGTTCAATGTTAATTTCTCCGTCTTTTGAAATCACAGTGTTAGTCATGGACGTATGTTGAGAGTCATTTTGAAATAACTTAAGAGCAGTCAAAAGGCTGCTCTTTTCGTTTTCCAAATTTTTATTTGCCATTTTCAAATCAGATATAGAAACAGGACATGTTCATATTTTGTGCCCTAAGATCATCATTCATTCTGATTAGCTCAAGCTTGTCTTTCTTTAGGTCATTAACTACGTTTTCCAAAACCAGAATCGAGTAGGGTTTACTTTCTTTAATATTGTTTATCTCAACTGTAATATCCTGTAGTTTGTTTGCCACATTTTCGGAAAATCTCTCAAGTTTCGAATTCAATCTTGCTATTGACTCGGAGTCGCAGTTATAGCTGGAGTTGCTTCCCAAGGGATTATGCCAATTTATTAAGTTTGCGTGCATACCGATTGGGCCTTCATGCAAATTTTTTGACTTCGCATTCAACTCATCATACTTTACACCGATTTCAGAATCTATTTTCGCTTGATTTTCGTCTTGGTATTCCAATTTCTTTTCAACATCAGGTTGATAACTAAACGAATGTTCAAGTGCATCATCATTGACATCGTCAGGTTCGACAGCTAGCAAATTTTCAATTGATTGATTTAGATGTAGTTCGGCATGGCTATCGATTTCAGAAGCACTGTCCAGATCTTGATTTAAAAGCGAATGTATTCTTGCCGTTATGTCACTACCTTTCTCACCACCAAAGTTTATATTTTGGCTTTTTGTTAGCCAAGTAACCGATAACAGCTTACTTTCAAATAACCATTTACCGCCACGGGGGGAACGCCATGTTGTTGCTTCGGCAGTCTCCTCGTCAATTTCGGTTAGTACAAGCGCTTTCAGGGTTTCAAGAGATCCCGTCCAAATAAGTTTACTTTTCTTAATGTTGAAATAACTGTATAACACATTTAAAACAGTTGAGGAATTCATTTTAACTCAACAGAACTTGAGAAACAACAGAGCTCTAAAATACACGTCCGCCTCGGTCACTCGGTCTCACTCTTCTCACTCATTACTACCAAGCTGAAAATAAATACAGCAAAATACAGGTTCATGTTTTACATATGAGATTTTAATAGGTTTTAGTTGTGATAGCCTGAAGCTGCAATAGAATTACCCTTTGCCCTGCCACGAGCATTGCTCCATTAACTTAAATTTATATATGTTTTATATAAATTGGCTTTAATGATTCAATTGCTCTTGAGAGACATACTATGAGCTAAAATCGGACACAACTGATGCAATTCTTTGTGTGAGAGAATGGGTCATGGGAGTGAAGTACTGCGGATTAGCATACTGTACTGTTGTACATCCCAAAAGACTCATTAGGCCCACACAGAATGCAAATTGTACGAAACATATCGATAGGCCTATATGAAGATATATATATGCGCAGACCGCATACACAATTTTTTTTAGTATAATATTATTCTCTCTTTTTGCAATATATTTAAGTACTAGTGTTGGCCAGCATGGCTGATACTCCTGATAACATAGAAGTAGGTGTCTGAATATACCGTTCGTAGCAGTCAGATGACCACCGCCCTAAGGTTTTAATAAGCCATGATGGTAATTTGGCTTCTGCTGCAGTTGTTGCTGCACCTATTCAGGCTATTCTGTAGCTATGACCAGCATAATTTAAAGCCTCGAAGCCAGATTTAGTAAGCAGGTTCCTAGTTTCGGTGGTTAAATTTTGTTTCGTGAGAGGTTTTCCCGATGCATGGATAAACAGAGGACAATTTGTGGATGGTTGTAGCGACAGATAGTTTTGTAAAGCTTGTACTGGACAAATGTCCGAATTAGTGGCGCCGACTGTTATAGTATGACCCAGGCGAAATGGGTCAGTCGACTTGGACTCCTTGATACGAACTGTCATGAAATCGGGACCATTTGTGCCCGTTCTAGGTGCAAAGAGGATGCTATCTCGGGTAAGATGTATGTTCGGATTGAATTTACAATTGCATGTTAGCTCTCCGAGACGGAGAAATCCAAAAAAGGCCAATGTCATGGCTGCCCATATCATCAGGGAGTCAAAATTACTTGGGGTGTTGGATATGCCAAGTAATATTCTAAAAAGCCGCAAATGGTGGATTGTGATTGGGAGGCGGACTCTTGTTTTGTCTCCATGGGAGCGTTTAATTCTCGTAACACAAGTTGCAGGCGTAACATTTTGTGCAAATTCAACTGGAAACCATGCCGAATGTGGTAGTGGCGGACTGCTGCTAAATATGTTTTTAAGGAAGGATATTTGATAGATTTTGCGAGAAATGCAACGAATTCTGTCAACAGAGCTTCATCAGCTGGTAGAACCTGCTCGATATTTTTTCTCTTGTATAACTGTATGAATGTAATAAAACGTTTTTCTCCAGAACTATAGGTTTGTTGTGTTGCAGATGAAAGAGATAAACTTATATAATGTTGGATGTCCTCATTCAGAGAGTCATTACAATTTCTGGAATTTGGCAAGGACTGGTATCTGCATCGGGAGCCAACTGTCGAAGTCTCTGCAATTGAAAACGAGAAATTGCATCAGCTATGTCATTGTGTTTGCCCGGAATATGCACAGCACGGATGTATATATTGTGGCGTGAGGTTAGGAGTGTTAGATGACGCAGTAAGTCCATAACCCTGGGGATTCGGGAACGTTTAGTATTAATAATGGTCACCACAGCCTCATTATCACAATGAAACTTGATCCGGCGGTCCCGAAGGAGGTCACCCCAGATGTGACATGCTACAACTATTGCAAAGAACTCCTGCCAAGATATACTTATACCAGGCTGGCCTAGTTTTTGATTTGGTTTCCATGCTCCCTGAAACCACTTCTTCCCAAAAATACCCCCAAACCCCAATGAGCCAGAGGCATCAGTATGTAGCACTAAAGTATCAAAGTCATGCCACTCTGAAGACAAAAAGAAATTTGCCCCATTCCAGTTGGAAATAAACTTCTTCCACATTTCAAGATCTTGGAAGAGACCGGAATTTAGCTTAATGTGGTGATGAGATTTCTTGATATTTCTTGTTAGAGCGATCATGCGTTCTAAGAAGGGCCGCCCAGGGGGCACTACCTTGCATGCAAAGTTTAGGGTGCCTATTAAGGACTGTAATTCTTTTAGAGTACAGGACCGTCTGTGTTGAAATTCCTCAAAGATTGCCTGCAGCCTCTCAATTTTGTCTGGAGGTAGACTAGCTTTCATGTTTACCGTGTCTAATAGGATGCCTAAAATCTCGAGTACTTGCGAGGGGCCCTGTGTTTTCCCCGGGGCTATTGGGATATTGATGTTTCCGAAGGTAGATAACATTTTTGTTAAACTTTCCTGGCAAACCCCATCCAAAGGCGGTGCATCTGCTGGGGGCTCAATGAGAAGAAAATCATCAAGAATATGACATATAAATGAGATGTTACACTTATGGAGTAGAATCCATTCCAGGGCATCTGAAAGTCGGTTAAAGATGGATGGGGCACTCCGTAACCCAAATGGTACAACCTTATCATAATAATATTTCCCCTCCCAGCACAAGAGAAGCAGAGAGCGCTGTTGTTTATCATCAGTAATTTCTGAAGCGATAATATATGTTTCGAGACGTTTTGTCCATCTTTGCCAGCGAATACTCAGGTTATTTGTGTCTACAACGTCAAACGGTGTTACTGGAGGTGTTTGAAAGAGACTAGTAGCCATCAGAGTAAGTCATTTTATCCTCGTCGCCAATGTAAAGTTGTATCTTTAATACTAAATCATGTACACAAAATACTTCTGTATTATCTTACATTGCTTCCATGCGTGTCGGTGCTGTTCCGCCTTTTCTCGCCTTATTCTAATTAATCTAGTTATTTATTAACTCAACATGATAAATCCCAACAAGCATAAGCGCGTGTGGTTAGATTTAACGAATTTGTTTAAAACTTTATATTATTACATATTTCAGTGGACTGATAAACTGTGCAAAATTTCATGCTGATATACGTTTTCTATCATGGGAACATTTTCACGTCACGTGACCCAATATGGGTGAAACTACATATCCCAACAGGTATAACCGCGCGCGTTTAGATTTAAAATATTACTGACCATCGTCAAGCTTATTGTTCTCACTATGCGTTATATCATCGAATGCCATTGGCAAATCTGATACGATTCTTAAGAAAAACGGCAGCGGATAGGAAGGAATTATCAGGGGTAAATATATACGTGCTAACATGGTACACTGGATTATTTTTTAATAATGTTGTCAGGCTGAGCATGCTCGCTGCCTAAAAAAATGCAGCCGGACTATGCTTTGCTAACACCATTATTAGAAATAACTCTTTATGTTATTTTGACTTATTGAATTATTTGACTTATTGAATTATTTGAATTATTTCATTGTTGTAGTTTTAGATATTCTCAACCATGACTGCATAAAACAACGCAAGCTTGTTTAGCAAAATGATAATTTATACATTATTGCATGACTTCTCCGCTATTTCACGCTAGACAGCCTAGACTGGGAACAATAGGCTTTGACAATATTCAGTAATTATAAGAACCAAATTATTTGGCCTTCAGCCTTATTGTTGTCTGCAATACAGGGTGTCCCAAAAAACCAAAAACTATTGAAATCACCTATTGTGCTAATTAGGCCTACAAATTTGCTAGAGAACATGTGGAAAGTCATGTTGCTTGAGTTGTAAATTTAAATATTGGTATCCATATTTGCAAAGTGTATTCGTAATAAAAATCATTTGTGGTACACAAACAAATTTTACTGACATCATGCATAAGATTGCTTACGTCACTTTACACATTTGTGGGTCCCAACCCGGTGGTCAGGCAGTCAAACTCCAGCTATTACATTGGTATAGGTGATTTCAATGCTTTTGGCGTTTTTTTGGGACAACCTGTATATCGAATAATCCTGTTGGCCTCAGTAATTATCTATTAACGAATTTGCCTGAAACTGTTTTACTACCCTAAATTACCCTAAATTTCATCAGTATAGTTTTCATAGTTTAGTGCCATTTTTTCCCAGTTCCCCTGTTGCAGGATATTCGTCATCGTAAGAATAGCTGATTAATATATTGGATTCTATCACCCATATTCAGAAAGTTCACTCATACTCACGCTCATTGATGTGACATAGAAATTTTGATCACAGATCAATGACATGTAACGCGTAATTTCGATGCAAATCAAATACAATTGACTGCTTCTTTATGAAAAAAAAAATTAGATGTTCGTCCAAGCTGTCACTGGATAATTTATGTTATGTTAACTTTAATTATATTTTCTAGGTTGCCAACGATACATGATTGTAAAATTATTTTATTAAAATTGTGAGGTGATTTACTACGAGTTGGACTCGAACCAACACAAAGTCGACCTGACACAGTTGACGATTCTCACAATATAAACGTTTTTTTTACGAAAGGAATACTAAAGGAAGAACAAGTCAGCAGAATGAACAAATAAAATGAACAAAGAAATTTTAAGATACTCGTTAGATACAAGTAGTTTTATTGAGATTGTATAAACTAAACTGATATGAACTAAATTTCTCGGTGATAAGTATTAAATTTTATTTACAGGTTCGACGTAAATCTTCTCCCAAGCAACAAAACTACCTTTTCCTAGGGCTTCACAATCGGGCAAACATCATGCACTAATACTGGAATCCAGCCAAAAGTGATTTCGTGGGAGTGAACAGATTTCTGATCTGTAATCAATCCACGGCCAAGTTTAGCACCATCCACGCTCATTATCTCTACTTCATCGCCTGGATATAAAAATATAACAAGTGCCTTCAAACATTATCTACCGGCTTTTTGAAATATGAAATATAAATATTGCCAAATCTTTAATTGATTTAAGCAAAAGCGTTAGTTTTGCACGATTCTTAGGCCCAGTTCAGACGCCGTGCTTCTCACGAGCCGAACAAAATTGATATCTTAGTCGACTAAAGTAGGCGTACTTTTGAAAATACAGGCGTGTTTCTCACGAACCAAACTTATTTAACAGTACTATTTTGCTGATGAATTGTTTGTAGGGCCTGATTCGTCAGATTCATTTTAATAAGTACAAGTTGAACAATAACCAACAGCTTTCCCTGCAATCCAGCCGGGCAATGAATCGTCTGTTTCAGGGGAAGAACACATATTACAAACTTTACTTGCACAACGAATGCATTCATACTTTGGATCCCTTTTACAATGAACGCAAGCAGCCATGACGGTTGTTTTGCTTAACAACACGTGGAGATAAGTATTATCATAATTTATGCATTTGGTACGGCTCTTGAAAAGCACAGCTGTGTTATTCTCATATATTCACGTTAACAGACCTGTAAAGACAATGGATTTGAAAAGAAATTAATCTTGCACACAAAAAACATAATCGAGATTGCATTAGTAATGCATAATAATCATTATTAGTATAATTATATATGGTTCACAATTACATAACTGTGATCATAAATGGAAAAAGGTCATTATTTGCCAATATATATTAAATGCATCAAAACGAACCTGGCTGGATAGGCTTGAAAATTTTATGTCCTTCTTTCGTCTTGCGTTTTTATCAGAAGAAACAGAACTTTTGCCCTTTGCTTCACCAGATATCTGCATCATTTGGGATGGAGCTGTTAAAAAACCCTGATGATTTTTACATGTATTATATACATAGTGTTGTACTAACTTTCATTGTCAAAAATTGTCAAACCTCTTTCTTACCTAATTACAAAATTTCCATTACTCGTGCGTATAAAGTAAAATAATCTAATTAACACCACGTAATTCGTAAAAACCTGATCCTCAGCTAGTTCAATCATTTGTGGAGAATATAGGCGCTCAAGAACCTTTTCACCATAGCCCAACCAAACAGATGGACAGCCCAGCTCACCCAGCTGCTTCATCTATACAATTTAGAATTTGATAAATATAATTACGTCAATGACGTCAAACAGTAACATTAACTACAATTACGTCATAACAGTAACATTGTACTACATGTATCCGTCTTCTATTTGTTATATAATTTTATGTCTTTATGGGTTTAAATAGTTGTAACTGGGCAATAATATTAGTAATCTGGTCTCTTTTTTGAAGTAAATATCGTTAACTTTTTGCAGTCCAAGTTTTTCCTTGAAACGCATAATAACATTCTAATATTTCATAATCATATACATTAAAGCACGGGTTGGTTCACGCTTCACCTATAAATAAACTGTGTTTAACCTTCATCCATTTTAACCATGAAGAAGTATCCATTTTAGACGAAAAGTACAGTATGCCAATTTTTTTACTTTTACAAAACAAGGGGCAATTGACCCACTCGAATACCTCCTGGCTTGTAAACATTTATTTTAAAAAACCATTGTGCCAAATTGCAACTCTCCTATTAAATATTATTACCACTTGCCAATTACAACAGTTTTTCCCCACATAACTTTATTTATGCAATACAGTAACATTCTGTAAGTATAAATTAAATAATACTGTAACAATTTAAAAAGGAAATGGCAATAGTTT